AATAATGAGAAGATTTAGATTAATTTTAATTAGACGTCACTGAATTGTTTTAAGTGCATTAGAAATTGCTTATTTATGATATAAGCAAAGATTATAAAAACATATTTATTCCATATCATTTACATTAAATTATAACAAATAGGTTTATAGCTTATAATCAATATGTATAAAAAATATTAACAAGTCTTGGCAATTGGCGCCATCAATAAAAAACACGACACACTAGTTATATGCTAATTTGAATAATTTTAATAAATAATAACATAATGATTTTTAAGCAATTTTATCATTATATCTTTGAAACAATTTATAGCCAAATGTTAGTAAAATTTCAAAACAACAATAATTCAATTTTTTTTAAACAAATTTTTCAAATATCCGACAATCGCTTATCAAAGTGATTTATCAATAATATTATTATTTATCAATTATATTATTTTATGTGTTAATTATAATTTGTATTCATTTTCTCTGCCAAACAATAAATTGTCTTTTACAACTGCTTATTGAGTTTTCGCAGAACGTTTACTTATTACAACTTAAGTAGAAAATCAATAACCGGAATAAGATTTTTATTACAAAAATAGCCTTTAAACATGATTAAAAATGATATAAGTTATTGCATAGAATCACGAACCGTCTGTGTCTACAAAATCAATCTTTTAAAACTAATCAAGATGATTGTGGCAATTACTTAGTTATTCTGGCAATGGATTCAATGGCGATTTGAACAATTATTACTATATAAAATTAATTAAATAGCAAAGTTGTTCGATCATACTGTTATGTGGCATGCCTTTGTGAGACTCATAGTTATTCAATATTAAAAAAATCAATTAAATTCATATGGAAATAAAAAACAAATAAATAACAGACATATTGTTCTAATACGTTGGAAAGTAGTAACAGTAGTAGTAAGGATTTTTTTTAAATATTTTCAGTAATATTCGATATTTTATTTTTATATTTTCCAAGGTAGCAGATGCTATTTCAGGTGACAAGTCAGAAAGTACAGCAAAACATTCACTACAAATCAATAATCAAAGCTTGAAATAAACATGTGTCTTCTACTATACACGGTTGATTGAATATATAGATCAAATCAGTACACAAAAACAGTAAAATCAATAAACCTAGACTTGAGATTTTTTGTACAAAATTAAATCATTTTTAGAGTTCTTCCACGGATGGGTGGTTATAACTATGGGATTTGAATTAGAGGTCCTAGTTTCGATATCTGCTTTAGGCAGCCTGATGTCAACGAGCAGTGACACCAGGTAACATAGATAGCAATATGTCCAAGTAAAATAGCACTTGCCCTACGAAAAATTCAACATTATTAATATTAATAATTCAATAATAAAATTCATCACATAGAAATATGACAACTGTTTGGAATGCCATCTATAAAACCGACTTGGTTATTCTTCTAAAAATCATACTTCACTCAATCAAAAATTCAATAGAGAACTTTTACCAAGATTTTTCATTCCAAATTCCAATAGAATTCAAATAGAGTGTTTTCCAATAGAGTAGAAAGTCGAACACGTGACTAATAAACGTGTCTCTTGAATTAGAACTTAGGGTTGAAAATAGGTCGAATTCAACCCCCACCGCCCTGTTTACACCGCCCTCGTGGCGGTCAGCATCGATTTCATGGCCGAGTCGGTGAATAAAACAAACGTACATATATAAAAAGAACGCAGTTCCTCGTGTTAATATCTCATAATATATATCATTCATAACATGACATCATCATATGGCCATAAAAATGAATATTATATGTTGTGTTTTCGGCGAAGACTAAATTGGTACAAATTGATAATCGCAGATGTTTGGAAGAAATTGGAATGGAAATAGATAGAAGACAAACAAGTTCTGTATGGTAAAATTTAATTATTACATTTTAACTTAGTTATTGATTTGTCGTGAATGTCTTGCAGAACTTTCCAATGCCATTTGAATTAGCATCTGGAACTAGTCAAATATAAAAGTAAAATAAATATGTCAATATATTCACTATCAATTCCATAAACAGTGTGAAAATATTAAGAACATTCGCCACCACAATTGTTATTACTTTCTCATGTGTTGGAATAAACTACTCATGTTATTTAGTTTATGCCATTTTTTATTTACAAAAGCATTTAATTAATTTACTGACAATTTCTTTGTTCTTTGTTTTTCTTATACATTTTTTTAGGATTTATATTTGTTCATTTGAATCAATCTACATTAAATATTTCACCATAAAATTTGTAATTTTCATCATCAAAGTTGAAAGTTGAATATATAAATGTTGAAATTAAATTAAGTCAAGAAACATTTCTCAGTTTTGTCAATTTAATATATGCCATAAAGTTACTATTTCATTCTATTAATAGGTATGGCCCACAAGAATATTTTTAATATGTACACAATTGCGCAAAAATCTATTCATACAAAATTCAACCTGTTTGGTTTCCCTTTCATTATTGTGACGGCATTTGCAAGTGTGTTAATAGTATGAGAGTTATTTGGATAGCCCAGGGCCATGGTAGAAAAGATTGAACATATTTTAAACATATGATCACACAAGCTTCATTTTGGTTATGTAGGAATAAATATTAGCTTGAAGCTCATAGGTACTAATAAAGAATAATTTGCTTATGTTTTAAATACAAATTTCGAAGCTTTGGGCGACGAATTTCTGACACCCATAGGCCTCGCTTTCTCCTAATTGTAGGCTTAGAACACATGAACACAAAATACCAATTGTTTTTACAATTACAATTTGAATTTAAAATTTACAATTTTCTTTTAACGTTTACATGATTTCCTAAAAGAAATATAATCACTTTTTCATTCAAATTCTTATATTTTGCTAGTATCCTTTAATATTTTCTGGGTCTATTACACTGTTTGTTTGCCCTTGGTTTAGGTCGAGTAACACGAACCACATGTATGTAATTGATATATGTAGAACTTTCACAACTTGAATGCGATATTTTTTCTATATAATACTTCTAATAACGTTTTTGTGTCTGAGCTTTTTTGTTACTCTGCATCTTTTGAATGGGATAGTTTCAAGTCGTTGTAAAAACAAATAAAGATCCGTCGAGCGTGAAGCTTATATAATGTTTCGCTCTTATTCCTTATTTAATGATATAGTATTGAAAGAATAAATTTCAAAGAATAGTAATAAATGACATTTTGTAAAAGAAAGAAGTGATTTTGGTGTGGTATATATTGTTAATTCTGAAGCGCTAATCATTTATCATAATAAATGACTAGTATTTTTTACTTGGAATTATATTTGAGATCTATTACCTGAAGTAGAAATCTGATATCTTGCTGCTTGATATCGAGCTTTGCAATATGATAATTATGACACGTTAATTGCTATGTCAGTCATATGTTTCTGACGCTATGAATTTCTACATGAGCCATGCCAGACATAATTTTATTGTCAAATAAGAAATGATGATTTGAAAGCCCTTTTCTTTCACATGCACAGAGGTGACCATAAAGAATAAAAAAGTAGCTACTAAAGTTATAAGAAAATGATGCTTGAATAACATTGAAGTAATGAAAAACTACTGGCATGGCTTCAAAATAATTCTATACTTAAACATTAAATAATTATTGCAATATAAAATTGATTAATTTGATTTAAGTTTTTAAATCATCTGTTATACATACATATACATATATATGCGTATGTGTATAAATATGTGTGTGTATATAGATGAATGTATTATATAATCGCAAAAGGGCTTTATAATGAAGGGTACCCTTCAGATAACTCAGTTTTAGCAAGGGTAAAATCTACGTCTTATAATATTAGACGTATATTCAGAATGAAAAACGACTAGCTTTATTCTAGTACTTAATATTACTTGACAATTTTCTCTTAATAATAATTGACATCATTCCTGGTTTTGTAAATTATATTACTTCATAATTAATTGATATGAAATTCGGGTTACTAAGTAATTAATTCACTTATCGATGTTACATTTTCCCTCTGTTATTATTATGATTTCGTAATTCGAATTAAACCCATATAAATAAAAAATGGTAACGCAAAAATTGCTGATATAATCAATAATATCCACGTTAGTTCTAGGAAACTAAATGCTATGAAAACAGTCAGCAGTAATAAATCTTCTAATGAGAGTGTTTGTACAACTTTATAAATTGATTAACGAGCTATTATGTCAATATGCCTTTGAAAGATTTATAAAATTCGCAAATGACAAATTTGATTATTGAAGTTCTTTAACCAATTTTTATTATTATTTGTGTAATAATAATTTTATTAATATTTGTGTAAGCTATAATAAACATTTTTATTGTAAAAGTATATCTAAGAAAATAATCATGATATAAGTAAAAAAATTATGCCAATTTTAGGTGTATGTATATATATTTTATTTGATATTTTAAAAGATCTGGATTTTGATAAATTTCTAATTTTTGTTTATGTCGGTGTGTTTATTTTTGTATTGAAAGTATCCATACAATCAATTCAAGTTTCAAACGCAATTTATTCAGGAATATGTATTTATTATCTTACAAAAATCTCGGATATTCAAAGAATTTTTCTTTTTCTTTGCAGTCTTATTATTCTTTTCGAATTTTATTTCTATCGTTCCAGAACCAATAAAACTGTTTACAAACAAAATTCCAATTAATCCATTCATAACAATATAATCTTATCAGAATAAACAATTATGACTAGGAGATTTATATATTTGGCAATAAATGCGACGTTCTTTGAATTCTTAAATATTTGCCAATAATAAAATTTAAAACAATGTAAACAAAACATTCGTTTTGATTAAGATTGCTTTTAGCAAAAGTAAACTAAATCAATGAATGCGCCGAAGCTGTTTAAATGTTATCGTAAGAGATTTCTTATCGCAGCCGATTGCCGGTGTTCAAATAAAACGTAATAAAATGTAATTTATCATTATTTTTTATTCAAAATAGTTTATATGTAAATATTACAAACATACCTCTTATTTGGGCAATATGGTTGTCATATTCCGATCGACTCCTAAATGCATCAAGCCTCGTACTCTGAAAACTAGCATTCCTATAATCATGATACCAATCCTGATCAGGACTTTCAGATCTCACAGGACTTCCTGAACGCGTCAAATTCTCTTCAGAGGGAAATCTTCCAGTTACATTGGAAGACGTCGATGATCCACCTAAACTTTTCGTAACTCTCAAAGTTTGGTACGCCGAATCCTCTCCCGAAGGACTTTTCGCACCAAGCAAAATATCCTGAACATTACGTCTAACTGTAATTTTTTCAGTGGTCACCATTCTATTGCCGCTGGCAAGATCTCCTTCCTCGACAACTCTTTCTGCAGTTTCATATGATGTGGTGCCAATTTCGTCTCCTGACGGGCTCGTCGTATATCTGCCGGTAGGAGTGTCGTACCGTTTGATGTATCTGGTAGTAACAGTTGGTGTTTGATGTTTTGGAGGTATCCCAGTTTTGGTGTCAAGACTGGTAGGTCGTTGAGGTGTATGTACAAGAGGTACATCATCCTTATAAATCGTAGTACGTGTTACTGTACCACTCTTTATGTCCGGTTTTAGACTGCTTGGTCTAGAAGCTCCTGATGGTGATCGGGATTCATAGATAACTGTTCCTTTGGGAACAACATGGGATTCTGTGTATCTTTCTACTTTTGTGGGCGTGGTACTATGTAGCTCAGGTTTTCCGGTCACGATTTCACGTTTTGTAGTAAAAGTATGAGTGGTGACAGGAATTGTCTTCTTCACGGTGATGTACCTAGTAGTAACATTAGTCACAGGACCTTCAACAGTTTGATATGTTATGTTGCTATCACTTGGTAATCCTTCGTATCTAGTTATTACTTCAGGATCTGTCACGGTTTCATATTTGACATTTTGACCATCTTGTGGAATATCAAAACCTGATCCTGTTACAGTTCTGTATGTTGTTGTAGTAACTCTAGTCGACGGTCCAACAATAGTTTCAAACCTCTGAACATCACTAGCATCTGGAACATCTTGCATGCTTATCCTGGAAGGTCCACCAGAAGTTTCGTACCTGGTGGTAACATGTCTGGTTGGACTTCCAGGACTCGTCACACTCTCAACTCTAGTACGCCTTTCTTCAACATAAGGTCCGGTTGTGGTTTCGAACCTGGTGGTCGTGGTGACACCATCATCTCCACTCGGCGAATTTGATCCCGATGATAAGATTTTCTCGAAGAAGCTGACGCGTTCCTTCAAACGTTTAGCCGAAGGGGGAGTTGTTGCGGGCCCCGGCTTTTCGCGGGTCCCTTTCGAAGGATCCATCCATAAACTTTGTCCTTTGATATCTTAATCACTTGATTAATTCACACAAAAACACACACTAGTAAACAAAATCACTCGCGTATAAAAATATAAATTCGTTCGTTAATTCGTAAACATTTTCGTTAAGGCTAGAAAACGATGATTTCATAAAACACAACTTCTCTATAGCACTATCGGTTCGATACTGATGTAATATGTACCGCGCACGCGGCTTCCAGTATTTCCATTCTTGTTTAGCACGTGCAATTATCGTGTGCGGTCTCACTCGCAGTGAACGAGGCCTTTGTCGTTTGTCCATTCATACGACGACTCCCTTGTACGGCAGCAAAATTGCACGATAAGATAAGCGGAGCTCGTTCCCAACCGCACTATTGGCTGCTACATGCACGGTACGAATTCGTGAACGAATCGGGTTAAAGGTTTCTCAGGCAAAATATTTTTGTTTTGCGTACGTTCGTCTAGGACCATGTGACAGATCTTGCTCTTGCCGGCATTACTCATAAGTACGCATAAGTACGCAATTGGGAAAGGTTCGACTATTTCGAACGTTGTTTTTGTTAGTAGGTCATTAGAATATGCCATCTCGCATTTGAGCTCATTTCATCTCAATTCTTTTTGAACATATATTTTTTTGATACTGCACTAATTTCTAAAGATACATATAGAACTTTTACGCAGCATATATTTACAACTTTTTATTAGCAGAAAAATCAGACAAGTAATAAGGTAGTAATTTACATTATTAAAACCTATGAACTACTTGAACGATTAGCATTTTTGAAAAAAATTTTACTTCGAAAAAAATAGATTTTTGAGAAACTATGAATTTGACAAAAATTTACTTTTTTTGAATAAAACTTTTTTTTTGAAAAAAAAATGTTTTCTTTGTTTTGACATCTTTTGGAAATTCTGAACTTTTTTTCAAAGCAATCGTACTGCTTTAACTCCTTAGGAACAAAATGTCAAAGCGCGTGAGCGCCGCGTCGCCGTCTAACGGATAAACACTGGTACGAAACCCATAGGAATGTAAACAAAGTTTATACATATTGTTAAAATCTCTATAAAATATCTGATAATTTGATGTGCATATGTCTAATGATCATTTTTGACTGCCAAATGGTATTTTTTTACTTTTTTTATTAGATCTCCGAAACCGCTAGACCTACCTTCATCTTGTTAATACAAGTAAAACGTTTTTTGAATTATTCAAATCGGACGCTCCGTTCTTTTAAAAACTGAGTTACCATTTTTGGCACTTTTTGCCCCATATCTTCGGAACGGTTAGACCTGCCTTTGCCAAAAACTAATAAGCACGTCTCCTTATCAATACGAATCGAATGTTTTTTGAATTATTCAAATCGCTTCATCCGTGTTCCCGAAATCGTTGACGAAAATTTGTATCCGAACACACACACATACACGCACACACACATACAGACACACACACATAAATACACACATAAATCCATTTTTTCTAAGGTATGCCAAAATATTCAGAAGGTTTTCAACCGTAAAGATATATAAAAAATTTCATTTTGGATTTTTTTGCGATTACTATAACTTACCCTACGGGTAGTTAATTAAAGAGTTGAAGCATAATTGCCTTTAATTTAATATTACAAAAAAGTATATAAAAGTAAACTATTTATTATTCTCATATATATTTTATTATTCTGCCAAAATATTCAATTAGTTTTATCAAATTACACACATCAGATTTTTATTAATTATTATGTTATCGGTTTTCGAAACTGATCACCTAAACAAAAAAGATAATTTGCGGCAAATTACTGTTATGATAAAAAATGCAATCATCAAATCATACTTGGTTCATTATACAATTATAATCAATTTGGCAAATCTTATTAGAAATTGTAATTTTCAATTTGCAGAATTTCAATTATAAGATAGATATAAATTATGATTAAGAAAACTACAACAGATTCTGTATGGTTTTGAAATGTAGTAAATAAACAACTTTGGTATGGTATTGAATGATATTTTCTCATTATTTTATAGTACCAGTTTGCACTACTAGTTTGTAAACTTGTAAGTATGAAGGTTAAAAAACATTGCATTTAATGCAATCTTTTGCATTAATCAGAATTAAGAATGAGCAATGAAATATTTAATAAAATAACTAAGTTATTCAATTTTCCAACTATACAAATATATTTTGAAAACATCTTGTGATGGTGCAATCTTGCAGGCATTTTTAATCTTAACCGCAGTTTTTTTAACAAAATTTCATAAATTAATGGACCACCAATAAAATATACCGATTAATTCAATGATAATTCAACAATTCAACATGTCGCAAGTTTAGAGAAAATGTTTTCGAATAACGCAATGCGAGGTTACAAGCAAGAAAGTATTTTGACCTTCGCACAATGGTGTCGACAGACACAAAAATTCGGACACAGTTGAAAATAATTGTTAATATGACATCAAAGGATGCAGTAATAAATAATATTTTTATATTTGCGACATACAACCCAAGGAATAAAAGCTGAAGAAAAAGACAAACTGCCAAATATTTTCAATATTAATCTTTCAGTATTCATTGCTGAAAATGCCCAAGAAATGATCAAGTACAAATGATCTATAAAACTCAAAAAATAAATTGTAATAGAATGATGTAAATTTAGATAAAGAAAAAGACATAATATTTCATTTTACGTGGTCATTTTTTGATGATGAAATCTTAACAACATCTTTTAAAAGGTAACCCATCTCTTGACTAATTTATAATTTTATTATTATAATTACTCCAATACTGATATTTATTTTTAACTTGATGCAGTTTACACAGTGGAAGAGTTTTTTTTTTTAATATCAATATTCAATACTGTTACTAAAACATAGATAATTCTGATTAAAATACAATAGAATTGTATTTGATGAAACCAATGAAAACGCCATCAATATGATGATAATAAAATATAAAATAAAAATTGAAAATGTATAAAAAATTGAATCATATTTAGATCTATAATTTGATGTTAAAACAGGTAAAGATTATGTGATTGGATAGCTAAAGCTCTTACCAGTGGTAAGTTACCTCGGAGCCACTGGAAAGCCCACCTTAACTTTCGCCCTTACATAACTTTCAACTAGATAATCCCTCCAACAAAATATTTTAAGTGACTCTGAACATATTTCTTTGATTTATCTTTACATAGATTTTTTGAATATTTGCTATTACCTTTCGTTATCTTTACTGCCTTTACTAATGTTCATTCCTAAGTAGATACAATCGACGCATCAATCTCTACTAGAAGTACGTATCATGCCCTAGGTTACATAAAAATTACAATCTCTAAACGCATTTGTTCAATTTCCTGGTTTAGTAATCGATTGCATATAATCAATTACCATTTTCTACCTCTAATAGGCAAAGAATTTCCTCTCGTTGGCTTATCATTTCTTTTAGAAGTAGCTAAACGATGATCAACACAACTTGCGGTAATGAATCAGCGTTAGTTATTGCAAAAACGTGACGGTCAGAAAACCCATTGAGTTGTGTTGTTTTATTTATTTTCATTGCAACTATATTACAAAACTCATTTATCGCCTTTTGTTTTTGAATATTTTATTTTGTTTTGTCGACAATATATAATGTCGGTGATAACACACGTTGAAATCGAACAATGGAATGCGAATGAGTTAAAGAAGGTAATTAACATGTGAAATATTACTTACAACTTTGCAAAATAATATTTGAATGTGAAATATTATAAATATAACATATTTACATCAAGTAGATCTTTAAAAATATGTACAAATAAGAAAAGTTCAAATCATAAAGGCAAATCTTTACTGATATTTATTGATATATTGATAATACATATTGATTTATCGTTATTAATAAAGTATATAATTATGTATCAAATATGAGAGTTCGATAAACGTTCCACGAATTTGTTACCAATATAACAGTTGATATAATAAATTACAAGTACTGTTTGAAAGATTTCGTATCGCATGTAATCTTTCGAGTTGCAAGAAATACTAATTAAGATAAGGCTATCAGTTGGTAAATCATTTGTTTATATAATAACTCAGATTTTGATCTGCAATCAGAACTTAAGAGTTCTATAAGCTGTTAGGCTAATTTTGACGTAATAGCAGTCGGTTCTAGAGATGGCAACCCAAACAGTTGTTCTATCTCTATTACAATTACTGTCAATATTTATTGATGCAGAATTGCCGGATCAAGGCTAATTTCATCTGGAAACATATTGCTATTTATTTCCAAGTAAAAACCGTTGTCACTACTTCTTGACACCAGAAGCCGGATCGAACCCTGATTCAGGTTCAGTAGTTATACGACTTACCTACAAGCGAGTCCTACCCACAAATAATTTTACATATTTGTATCATTTACAAAGACATTTTTTATCAAACGTCAACTTCTTTGTTTATCGGTTTGATGAATCGCTTGTTGATATAAAAAATGCGTACATATCCATTACTACTATTCTGATAATACTGACCGTAGTTACAAAACAATGCAATAAATAAATAAAATAATAAAAGGTACTAAAAGTAGTCATTTACCACCATACTACGTTATCTTATCAAAACACTTCGTTCGTTGAAATGTAGCGATTCGTTAAACAAAATATAAATCAAATCAGTGACGTGATCCCTGCGAGCGGCGCCAAATATCTATTCATATGACGTCATGAAAGTTTGCCAAAGTGCGTCCCGCACCGTCGATTACCTGGTTGAAATCCACCTATGATACAACACCTTGCGAACAGGTTGACCTTCAAACTTTAGAATTCATTACGTGATCAGAAACGCTAAATGGCGCTTACTATTCTCTAGATCAGACAAAGAGAATTTAAAATTCGAGTTTGAAAAATTTAGCGGCCAATTCTCTGATAAAATGTAAATGTTATGGTAACGCTGCTATGTTATGGGTCTATCTTCGAATGAATTGATAGTAAGAACAGTAAAAAAGCTATATATTATAACTAACTTCACGTATGTGTTATCAATGAGACAACAGAAAGTTGCACTTATGATAAAATTGTTATATGAAATTTGTGCGTTTTGTGGGTTAAGTTTTATGTGTTCTTACTACCAATTCATATGAAGATAATCGCATAACATACTTTATTGGAGAATTGGACCTTTAGGATCCACATAGCATATATTTCTTATCTGAACCGCCTTTTAACTAAATATTCATTTTGTTAAATTAAATCACAATATTATTTAATTTGTAAAA